GTGATTAAAAGGAAAGGACGCCGAACGGGGGTTGGGGACAGTATGCAAGTACTACGTGACCGGGGGACTAATTTTAGCACCAGTTTGCATTAGAATGGTAACAAAAAAGTCAACGGATCAGAATTCTTGGAGTAAGGGACTCGGGCAAGCACTTCAGAGGACGGGAGAACAGCCTTTTGTAATAGGGAAACAATTGTAGTAGTTCATTCGTAAAAATTGAAAAACACGCAGCCCAAGAAATTTTAATTTGAAGAAGAAATTGTCCTTTGAGATAAAACGTAATTTTAATTAGTAAATTTTCGAGTCCAGTGCCCCAGCCCGTCTTCGGACTAACAGGCAATATGCAATGAACAATAAAAACGTAAAACGAATAACTATTGTTCTTCCGTAGGTTTTAAATTTTAATTGATCATTGCACATTGCCTGTTAGTCCGAAGACGAGCTGGGGCACTGGACTCGAAAATTTACTAATTAAAGTTACAGTAGGTGCACTAACTCATGAAATCCAAGGATTTTTACAAGTAACTCCCTGTTACTCAAACGCAACCGAAGCTGCGGCCCCAAAAGTCTTACAACAATAAACTAATGGTCGTTCTTCACAATAGGGCATGTTGTGATTTCTGAAGGAATATAACGTTTGATAGAAATTCAAGCTTTTTTTAGCAAAGTGGAAAATTCTGAAAAAGTGGAAATCGGGCGTACTAGATTAACTTAAGTTCTACTTGTAGAGGATGCCTGTTTATACAAACCCACCGAGTGAATATAGCAGGAAGAGTGAAATTACGTTGGAAAATAATCATTTTGTAAAGTTTTCATATATATGCGCTTCCATATGTGTGTTGCCGAACAGCACAAATTTCGAGTAGATATTCCAATACGTTTTCACAAAAACTTCTAGTTTTTTCTTTTGTTTATATATTGCCTGAGTTGCTTTGGATTAAAGCAACCACAATTACGCTTGACTTGGCCCATTGGGAGATCACAGAAGTAAGATATTTCTTTAGCTCACGTGCGGACATGCCGGTCAGTGAATAATAAATTTAAATTTAATTGT